ACTTTATAACTCTTATATCAAAAACATTTGTATCAAACATTAAAAAACACAATTCGAGATTTATATCTATTTGCTAGTATAGAAGTAATTACTGAATTAAATGAAAGGATATTAAAGGAATTTAAAAATCTATCTCTATGATTTTATAATCAAAATTCCGAAGAAATTTCAATTTTAGGATATTGTGTTGATCTGAAAGTTAGGTGTAGATATATAAAGAGAGACATCTTTGTTATATGCTCAATTATTGTTTCAATGAGCATGTGAAAAGTGAAGCGCCCAATAATAATAAAATCTTCATCAGAAATCCCTAACAAAAACAATTACTATTGTGGTATTGAATCCTTTCAAGAGATTTTCGTAATACTAACAATTATGATTTTGAAAATCAAAAATTCCTAAAACTTTTTATTATTGATAAAATGAAACTAAACAATAATCATACAAATTGTTTCTTCAAATCAAATCAACAATCTGTGAGACAATTTCCAATACATTTCTCAAGACTTGAATTGCATCATTCGATATCTAATCATCGGAATCAATAAAATATTATCATATCACATTTTGTTGCTAACTTTTGAATAACTTTGATATCAAAGATACGATCAAGGTTTTCAATACTTCTTGAAGTTAACAGGAATAAAAATCATTTATCTATAAAGATCACTGAATGTTTTCCGATCATCCATGTAATATCAAAACTTGAAAATAAAACAATTTTTCATTAATAATATTCTTCATAGAGTTCTATGAAGAATTGAAAAGAATCTTGTTCGCTAAATGGGGGTTAAAGATTATACTTAGCAAAGAAATACAGATCTTTATTATTAATCAGAATAACTACATTCTAATTGAAATGGACAAATATATAATTATCATACTTAGTCATTAGATAGCATACTGTTTAAGTTTTCTTTACTCTATTAAAGGAACAATCAACCAATTCAACAATGAACAGAACTTTCGTTAAACTTATTAGAATTCTTAGAATTCTTAGATTTATCAGATTAGTTAGGTTTGGGTTTCACAACTCCTCCAGTACTCTTTATTTCAACTGGAGTTAAGAAGCAAAACAATATCGATATTAATTACTATAATATTATTGGATTTGTTTTTATTACACTTGTGATTAGCTAATATAACGAGCGGGATCGCTGCATTGGAACAATGCGCAACCACTTTAAATGAGATAGGAAGGTTGCCGTTAAACAACTCTAGAGAGTTTATTATAAATTAGAAATGCTTGCCGTGGTCAAATAATTATCTTAATTTCAAAAAATTACAGCTTAGAATATCTCTGTATCTTTCAGGAGACTACTCGAGTAAAGGATATAGGGTTTAAATCTGTACCCACTGAACAAAAATTAAGAATACTACTACTACTACTACTATTATTCTTATCATTATTACCCTTAATTACAAAGCTCAGATCGAATTCATTATATTTGAGTCAATACATGGCCCTCCGATTCTAAAAATCTCAAAAACCTTGAATATTTGAATAGAATAAGAATAATGAATCGATTTTTTCCCCTGGATTTCAGGATTTATGAAATATAAATATAGAAATGAGTTTTGAAGAATCACAAAAAGAATTATAAGAGATGCTAGCAAGACTCCTGTTAGTTCATTTATAAAGGACTGAGTAAAAGCTTAACAAACAAAGTTTAGTTATCATATTTAACAAAAAACGTTTTTTCTTTATTATTCAGAAAATTATTGAAGTGTTAAGAGATTTTATTAATCATTGAAATAATATAATTTTGATGATAGGAATTACTTTTAAGATCAAAAGTTATCATTTATATACTTATATCTATAGTCAAGTTTATGAGATTTACAAATAGTTCAGTTTTTGTAAACCCAATAGGGTCAATGAAGTATCAATCATGAAAGCTATTAGACATAAGAAGAATGTAACAATTTTCATAAACTACAAATCTGAAACCTTGATGGTGACATTAGTACGTTAAGAATAAGCTTCTTATTATCGATCTCAATATGACTAATAATAGTAAAAGCAATAGTAGTGAAAATAATTACCTAGAGAAATACATATATAGATTTCTAAATTTATAAACCGTTTTCATTTATTGAAATGCGATTTTAGATTCCAAAAATATTCAAGAAAAAAATACAATCTTCAATTTCATCTTATGCTTCAACATATAATACAAAGAAAATTCAAATGGATTAGTATAGTATAGAGTTTGCTTAATATTACAAGGATATTAATATTCATATTAGTCTATTCATATTGATTCTTATCTCACTATTTCAACATTTGATTGGAAAAATAATTAAGGCGTTTATCAATATTTATATCAGAATGAAAGGAACATTTTCAATGATCTTTACTAAACAAGTTAAATTATAGATGGTTATTTTGTATTCATTAAAAAAGAGTTCTCCATGATCGGTTTAACAAGAATCATCAATTGAATTAATGCCGAGTGACTTTTGATATTAACATATTCTATTATTATAGTATATATTTGAAGCATGACTAATACAATGCATCGAGTTATAATAACGAGTTCGACAATCAGTATCATGATAATAATAGAATTTGAATGATTTGAAGAATATTGTTCAATTCGGAATTCAAAAAGAGCAGAGTGATTTAACAAACAAAGAAGCTGAGTCATTTCATTGAATTTATAGTAAATTACTCTCGTGCCACTAAAAGCCCAAAATATTACTCTCATATTACTAAAAGTATTCTAAATTTATTTTTATATTATTTAGATTTTAATCTTTTAAAGCTAGAATCTATATATAGAATTTAAAGTTTAGAATATATAATTCAAGATTTCAAATATGGAATTTATAGTTTAAAGCTGGAATTATAATTTAAAATTAGATTTTAACTTTTGAATATAAACATTAGTTTTATAATATAAATTTTAGCTTTCGAATTTTATAGATTCTAATTTCAAATATTGTAGATTCTAATTTCAAATATTGTAGATTCTAGCTTAAAAACTATAGAATATAGTTCTTATAGATTCTAAATGATATAAGAGTAAATTTAGGTCGATTTTAATGGTATAAATATAAATAAATTCATTTTTAGTGGTATTAGAGTAATTTACCGATAGTTATACTATCTGTTCTATATCTAAAACAATTGCAATTGATTAATTTAAAATCGATGCATATCTTGAAATCTCTTCATTTTAATACCTTTTCAATTATAATATGATCATCATCGTAATGAACTACTTCTACACTTTCATACTAGTTCTAATCCACTTTTATATCATTTAGCTTTCTTTTGAAATAAATAATTTCTATAAATTTGAGATTAGAATCTAAAATCTCTCAAATTATGATCTACAAAACTCGAAATTCAGAATATGAATTAGACAGTATAAATTCTATCTATATCTAGATTTCACTTATGAGAAGCTTGAATTCAAATGATATAACAACAATTTTCAATAGCATCAAGACAGTTTAAGGTCATTACCTAGATATCGATATAATCTATGCGACTATTGGGAGTTCTATAGTTATACTAGCCATTGGGGAAAAAGAATTTTCAGACTACGAATTCATAGGAGTTTCTATTTTCTTTTTGATTATTATAACAATCTTGAAATAATGTAAATTCATAAACTTCAAATTCTTTTTCCCCAACAGCTAGTATCATTATGATATAATATTTTATGTACAAATCTTAATTCTAATTCTAATTCTAATTCTAATTCTAATTCTAATTATATAAGCTCAATATAATATATACGAGTGCTAGCCCTCAAGTTCTCGATTCTCGCTACGCTCGAGTTTAAATTATTAAATTATATTAGTACTAATATTCTTATTATTCTTATTATCCTTACTATTCTTACTAATTTTTCAACAGTAGACTAGTAAGATAGTAGAATAATAGCATGATAGATTTTTTTGGATATAATCTTTATATGTAAATTCTAAGATTGAAAAACATTTAAGGCTATTTTATCTTGAACATTCATACCCCTACTTACAAATACGTCTTTGAATACACCTTCATTAATCCTTTCAATTCAATTTATAGATTCTATTATTATTATAAAACTTATCCTAAAACTGATTGTAGCATTTGAAAGCCCTCAAAGCCTTATTCTAATTATCATGTTTTTAATCATTTCATCAATTTGTTCTAAGATTACATACTGAATTAAAATAATTTTGTTAGATTTTTTCTTTTATCTAATTAATATAATCTTGCGCTAGTATCGATGATATTTTATAATTAATTAAAATGAGTTTTAAATATATCAATCAATAAATTTGATATGCTTATAGAGATATATGATTATATAATATATGAAGTACAACTTGATTTTACATATTTCTATGAATCCATTAGTATTCTTCATACTAATATAAAGAGAATTTTCAAACCTAAATAAATAAAACTTACAGTATACAGGCTATTGGAAGCCATATTATACATATAATTAAATATAAGCAATAACTTTGCATCTTAAATAGCTTCATTTCTATATTAAAAATAGAATAGTCTTTACGACATCCTACTCCATATGTTCATCAAAACTCTTTTCAAAAAATTACTAAAGGATGCTAAGTTACTTCAGTATTGAAATTAATATTAAATTCCTTTTGATAATAATTAAGAAAAGGTATATGGATGAGTAACCTATACATTTAGAACAAATACGATAATAGAGTAGAGCCATACGACACCATGAGGATATAATCTACATATGGTCGTGTAGATGAGGGACTTTACACAAAGTAGCAAATCTGCAGGAAAACGGCGGAGCCAGAAGTAACTCCAACAATAACAGAACCAAACGCCACAGACCAACATTTGACTCCATACCAACCGTTATTACACGAATTATGAAGTGAGAATTTAGTTTCGAACTGGTGTCTATTAGAACCCTCCATACCCTCCATGCCCATCCGATTCATTTTCCCTTCTTCTATCCCAGCTTTATAACATACTTACTCATCTCTAGCCTTCACAAACTCAATCCTCAATAATGCCTACACTCAAATATTTCGAAGAATGTCCGGAGTTCCCAACTGATGTACTCATCGCCGATATACCCACGATCTCGTACCTCAAACTTCTGGGTAACTTCGCAGAGGAGTCAGAAAATCTTTACGAGGCATGTAGGGAATATGTATTTTTCTTGCTCGACTAGAACAACTCTAAGGAGGGATAGCAACTGTTGGAAGATGCAGAAATTATGTATGATGCTAATGTTGATATATTCAACCTTGGACCTGAAACTTTAATGGACAATAAGTTAAATATGCCAAAAGATCTGAATGGGTAAGTTCAAACTCATAATCATTCTTAGATCTGCTCACATTGACACGAACTTGTTACCACCATGAAAGTTACAAGCCAGCTGGAGTGCTCAAGACAGACGACGGCAAGGTGAATAATATGGCAGATGCATACACTCAGTTGGGACTAGGTACTTGGTACGCGATCTACACGCCGAGACCCAGAGGCATTTCAAAGACATCCAAAGACTGCAAGCGATTTTTTCTTCGTTCACATGAAGTTCTAACACGGGTTATGAATCACCTCGACAAATATCTAGGTTTAGTCCCTGGTACACTGTCTTCGCTTTCATCTTTAGAGAAGCCCTCGGCTACATCTCTTCGTCTCCTGATGGCACGCCCACAACCTCTTAATGATAAAATCATCAATCTAGGTGGTCACACTGACATCGGGACAATCGCCATGCTATTTCACGTAGTTGGAGGTTTCCAGGTATTGCCCGCGGAGAGCGAGAACATCAAATCCAACTGGCGTTATGTGCGTACAGTACCTGGGTGCGCCCTGATCAATATTGGGGATTCGCTTGTGGAATGGACAGGAGAGCTGCTACGTAGCAATCTTCATCGCGTTGTCACACCAACTGGAAAACATGCAACTTGTACACGCCGCAATTCCCAAACTGGCAGAGGACGAAGACGAAGAGACTCGTTCCGTCGACGAGTGGGCAGTATGGAGAGCGCAGCAGGTTATGGAGGGAAAGGTGAGGCCACGAACTCGAGGTGGTCGGCCCATCAGCATGGGCAATACTATAATTACACACTAAGTTTGATGCTCAGCAAATTGACAAGCCACGGCCACCATCAACGGTAATTTTCGAAGCAAAAATAGATCCACCATTAATGCAAGTTCCTGCTGTGAGCTGTTTGACAATAAATGTGAATATATGATTTTCAATATCATGCGCCTTTTACATGACCCGAGAATTGCCAGAAAACTTTGTAAATTGAAAGACACACGGTAGTAGCAGTTCCTAACGCCTCAGACATACGACTTATCAAACAGCCTTTCACAAAACTTTTGGATTCCGTGTTGATGAATGTCTGGGAACGCACATATCTTGAATTGGACTGGCAACCAATGAAAAATTATTAGCGCACAGAGCATTAAGATGATAAACTTAGTATGAAGTACATCGATTGACTTATTCCGTTTGAATTCAAGTTCAACTGGGTCCAATTTCAATATTACATGGAATCCTGCAGGAAAACAGTGATGTTATGTTATGATTAGCATTCCCTGATCCTTAGGTCATTGATCAGACTCTATCACTGTGCTTATTGAGGCGCACTTGGTGAGCTCCTAGTGAAGGTGAGTCATCAAATCCATGAGCCAAGTCTGAGCTGCCTCGGTTCCTCCGTCTAGCTGCCTATTCACCTATCCACGGAGCGCACAAACTGATCTCTGAACAGGGCTGGTATTGGCAGTTGTGAGAATCAGACTTCGGCTTCGATACGTATCATATATTCCATGCATGTCGTAAGTTTTCGGTCTTCTCTTGATGTCCGCCTGATGTGCGATTCGGAAAATCACTGTAGACCGAAAGTTGTCCTGTTAAACAGAAGTAAGACGTAAACACCGGGGAGCCCATATCCGTTTTCGACCACTTTACTTGGACTTTATCTTCACCAAAGCGAGATAGTAACATAGCCGAATCCATGCGAAGATCAAATCCGAAATGAGCCGTGGTTTTCTACTTACCACTTGCACATGTAAGACCTTCCATCAGTATTTTCTTTTGTTAATACCATGCCAGCATAGTTGTAGATCCTAGATACACTAAAGGCGTAAGAGGGGGAAAAATGCACATGCGGCGTAAAGTCAGGTCTCTGGAGAACGAATGCTAAGTCCCAGCATAATTATCGATACTCGCGCATGACTTAACCGTGAAAGCTAGCTATGGCCTGCTGAACCTTCTGTAAACGCTTTATCTTAGATTTGCGGCACAGCAGAAGGCATAGGCAAAAAGCCACCCAACAGAATCAACAGGAATGTTGAAGTCTGGTCGGAGATCGACCAGGTGATTTAAGGCTGTATGTTGATTCTACCTACCCCAAAATTGAGTACATACTGATAATCCGGCATTGCGAGAGGGGCCACAACTTAATTGGTTCAGATTGGAACAAGTAGAGTAGTACTTCTAGGAGCATCGATTGTGAAATGTTCTTTGACATGTGGTGACAGCATCTTTGCATCTGTCTCTAGATACTTGCAACGTGGTAGGAGATATCATCATTGTTGAAGACTTACATGCTGCATTAAAACCAAAAAAGCACACAATATAAACACAATGGTTGATCGTCCATATTGAGTTCAAAAAGTTATGGAAAGCATTTAGCTTCGAATATGCTTTCGATCCGAGTATATGAACTCGAAAGGAAGAAGATATGATAGTCTGAGCGATGCGCAACAGAGCATGGACTCAGATAACGTTGGTGGCATATAGACATTTATTAGATGAGAAGTTTATATAGTTGACTGTTCACCATGAGTTCTGAGACCAGGAACATATAATGCCCGCATAGGTTGGCTATACAAAAAATAATCAAATGCAGAAACAAGAGAGCAACTCGGTTGACTGAGGGCTACTCGTCGGTAAATTTATTGACATCAGCATTGAAGTGGTATGGATTACCTCCAGCCCTCTTTCTATATTCCATACCACACCAAATCAACCTAACAGATTTAGCAATTGTTCCTTGATAGGGTGCTCAACTGTCTGGACCAACTGCACTGGATCTAAAATCTCAATGTAGCAAGTGAATCGAATGAGTTGAATTTAAAGACAGGAAGCAGTGTTGTAATTAGTATTTTCCGTATTTCAATTACGCCCCACTTTAGTAATATATATCAATATTTATGAAAATATTTCAGTAATTATTATTGAATTCTATATCACTGAAAGTATTCAATATTTTAATAATATTGAATATTACTAACAATATACTGGAATACGGGAATTTACATATTTATGCTCGAAATTCATATATTTTCAATCATGCTTTTCCTTATTAGGTTTAAACTCATTTAAAATATGTAATATTCTATAGAAATATGCAATATTCTAATGAAAATATGTGATATTCCTATATTTCAATATATTTTCACTATAATCCTTTCGTACAATATGTACGGATGTGAATATCATTGGCTATTATACGTACTAGCGTACGTATTATACTCCGGATATCAGCCACAGTAATACTACCGTATACTAATTACAACACTGACTGGAAGATTCTGGCTGTCGGACTGCGATCTAGAAAATTTATAACATTGGACTATCTTAGCAGAGTCTTCATTTTGAATAAACGTAATGTCTAAAGACTCAGGGCAGCGGAATTCAGAACTGAGAGATTTTTGAGCGCAGTATATCGTCAGCTAGAAAAAGTATGCACTATAGTCTGGAAGAACTTGAGCATATGATTGTGGTTGTATTGCATGTAATAATGCGTAAAGCTGACCGAGACAAAGATATCAAGAAAAGCAGATTTATACTCAGATAAATTGCGAAAAAGCAGAAGGATATAGAGCGCCATGCTTGACGTCTAACGAATAACGCGGAAATAATCATGAAGTATGTTGTCGTTTTACTAGCCAGTGACAATGGATTTTTCAGTTAACATGGACTGAAATCTCTCTCTTGTCCTACGCGGAGAGTACATTCAGATGATATTGCTGACGTCAGATTTCGAAATTATATGTTTTTACTTGATAAAATGACACAGCTAGTACAAGTACAAACGATCAACGGTATAATAATTTGCCTTGGGTCAAGTCAAGGCGTAGAGCTTATTCACCCAATAACCATCGCGTGAATCTACAGTATCGCGACCAGTCCTAAGTAGTGTTTGGGAATTTTGACCCAGAGGGAAGGGTTTTCATCCAAACCATTATTGATGCTCACTGCTGAGAAAGTGGGAGAAATGTTTAGAAACGAATTGATTTACAAACAGTACTGAGGCCTTTCCAACAGGCCTGTCAGGGTATAAAATCCATGATCGAATCGCACCACTTTATCAGTGTTGGCTGCCGTATTCCCTCAACATGAGGAACATACACAGAGAGTCCGATATTATTTAGTACGGCAGGTAAATCATTGTAAAAGAACTCCTTTCGATACATCACGAAAGATGTCATATTCATCCATCTACCCAAGATGCCACAATAGATCGCAAAAGAACACAACGTCCACCAAGATACCGTAAACTTTAGGGCTATCATTCCTGGAATTCTTGAAGGTATTACTCGGAAACCTCGAAGAGACAACAAAAATGGAAGAAACATCAGTCGAATCAAAGTTCGACGAGGCCCAACTGGTCGCTCTCAAGATTATATATAAACGATGGGATGAAATCAAAGCTCGAGATGGTATACCTCCCATTGCCGTTGACAGGACCCACTCATACCACGGTCAGTATATCAAGACGCTAACAGATCTCGACATGGTCTGGAAGGAAATAATTGCACTAAGAAAGACTATGGGACTGGAATCGAATAATGGCAAAGGAAGGGAGAGAACATGCAGATGGTGTGCTGAGCGTGAAGGGAAGGAATTTGACCACTGGTGTTAAGCAAGAATTGGGTAGCTTTAAAATGCTTTGGGGAATCAGGCTAGTAGGATGGCATTCAGATTATCGATCTGGGATAATCGTGAATACTAGAACGGTTGACAAAGGCTCTCATGACCTGGGATCTCGGAACAATCATGAATATCATTGATTATTAAACTTGCAAAAACATGTGATTGCAATGCGGAAGTACAGGCAAGGCGATTCGAATCTTCTGAATCATAAAGTGTAATTTTCTTCTCATCGTTCTATAACAGGTTCAGGTTCAGCCTGTTTCCAATTCTTGATCCAGAGATCCGAACAATAAAGCTATCTATTGCTCCCAATACCGCATCGGCCAAGACTCGAGACTCAACCGAATATCGATTACAGCTTAACAACCGGCAGATACCAGGTACAAACAAAAGAAGCAATGAACAACTTGAAGATGCTCCAACTTACTGAATTGGAGAACTTGGTGGACGAAGCAGCAAGAATATTTGCTAGGGATGGAAACTGCGCACAGTGGCGATACTTGATGAAGGAAGTAGAGAAGATGAAAGATGCCATGGGCTGGAACAGATAGAGTAGCACTGCGTTGTCAATATGCATGGGAAGTTTGGACATAGAGCTTTGCTTGGAGGAAGATAAAGCTTCATCATTCGAAGTTGCAAGGAAATTACACTCGATCGTGCATAAACGATCAATCGTAGGATGGGAGGAAAGGAGGGCCCGGTGATGTAAACCAAGGTTAGGATACATGAGATTCAATTAAACAAATCACAACAAACTACTTATATTCTGAGCATGATTTGATATTACGTTACCTTGATTTACATCTATGCCTGGCTTGCCCTCAAGGATAACCGTTATTGTAAGACGAAGACTTCAACGATAGCATCAATGGTCTAAATTGTGATGCCGTGAATAGTCACTAGACCTACGAACGAAGAAAACAATAAGAGTCGTGACCTGCAGTATAGGGACAGGATACTATTTCACTATAACCACCCACAGAGTAAAGTCTAAGCTTTTGCTTTGACCCAATCTCGAGCCAATTCTTGGTTAAAAGTGTTGTTTTTAGAACAACATGATGCACTCACTCCATCTGCATGCAAGAACCAAATCCGGATATGTGTGTTTTTTTTTTTCAATTCCAGCTATGACGATCTCCCGCATTAATTGCATGGAACTTGGAAGTAATGTGCATCCCCCAAGATTCTTTTCAGTGGCACCATTGGGAATTTTCTATTTGATATTCGGACGGTCGCGTGATGTGTAGTCTGTTGCCAATTCACAGTTCATCCTACATGAAGACGAGTTTAGCCCAATCTAAGTACGATTGTTGCATTAGGTAGGTAGGTAGGTAGGTCAGAATTATAATGTTAGTGGGCTGTGGGGGAGAGGAGGGCTGTCTTGAACGACATGAACGTAAACAGCTAACGTTTGAAGCGTGGGGAATCGTTTGAAGTTATGATAGCTCGTGCTTGAAAAGCTCTGTATCTAGAAAAGAGTCCTCTCCCTTTGATTGCGCTCTTGCTCTTGGACCGATCGTTGGTGAATGTCTTGAAAATTGTAGACATCGTCGATAGATGTCTAGTAAATTTACACGTAGCACTTGCAAGATTTTGTGGAATCGAGGGCCAAGTTACTCAAATACCATATTATGTGGATCGCGATCTCCATACTGGATTGAGCGAAGATCAAGATGTCGAAAGGAATCGTATCTGGTAGCGCGCGGGCCATATGGTGACCTTGCTCTGTAGGTCTGAACTTCTGAAGGAGGCGTGTGACCGTTCGTCATTGTGGCTTTATGTTTGACAATCGGGACGATGATAATATATGAATTGCCGGCTCCCTCGAAGTTTGGCTATTGATTGCTATGCTAGATGGAATGATATGCCGTGGCTTGTTGTGTCGTGTTGTGTTGCGTTGTGTCGTGTCCCGAGGTCGTGTTCTGTTGTTGTATTGCGTTGTGGCTGGTATTGGGATCGTTGTGGTTTGTGACTTAGGCTTACCTAGGTAGGCAGGCACGTGGTAGGCAGGGCAGGTAGGCACGTATTAGGGCCACCTACTTCTAGGCCAAGAAGAAGAGGCTGGAAACATTTGTTCACTGGGGATGGCTGTGCAGTGCAAACTACTAGGTACTGTAGACTTGCATATACCCGTAACGTGAAGGGACATTAAATCCTTCCCCAGGTTATTGCGAAAACTAAATCAAATTATCATTTCCTTCAATGCAGCCCCGTTGAATAACGACAAGACTGAGGTTACATCTCCATCGAGTCGTCGTAATCAATAAATAGTCTTGAATCCCTTCAGCCAAGTTATAGGTCACACCAGAAAATGGATTCTTAAAACCATCATAGTACAGTGCTCGGACGTGCATGCCTTGGAAAGAGGTGTACCGGTAGCTCTATTCCAGTATTCGTATACTGTACATACAGAATCATTTACGCTTGAGATGCAGATGTAAGATTACAACAAGTCAAGAACAAAGATCCAAATTCCAGATGCAGGAACACATGTAGAGTTTGGGTAAGTCCAGGAATGGACCAAGGGATGATAAATAATGCAAATCAGTCAGATTGACATTCTTACCGACGCACCTTGTTGGATATACTGAAATTCGACGTCGTATTGTGTTTCCCGAAGAAGCCGGATTTTCATGGCATCGCACCACCAAGAATGAAGATAATTTAATTGCCGCTGCGGATGGCAGATGGTGAAATTATCCGAAAGGATGTGTCTTATGAATTGAATTCCTATATGATATTTTGTTTTGAGGGAGGGACCACCAGTGGACGACCTAGTCCATAACTACTTAAATGTGAGGATGAAACTTCCGGAAGAATTCAACTGCTAGATATCTCCTGGCCCCAACATATATTTCGTTCCAGGTGAAGAGTGATTTATTTGTGAGGTGAGGTGACTTCTCCAAAGATTGAATGATTGGTTCCTACCTAGTCAATGGAAGACGCTGCCCAGGTTCATCTTATCCATGTCCAGCGCAAGCATTATCAAATCGTTGGATAAGCTGGACCAGTGATAACTATCGATCACAACACCCACGAATTCTCTCAACTCCTAGCCTCCCGAACTTTCTAGCTTCATTTGTGTCTAGAAGCATCAGATTCCCATGCACACCAGGAAATCGTATCGTTGACACTGCAGCTCTATTTTGTTAAGCTCGAAATTTGACGCTGGAGAGTCTCAGAGTACCATCATAGTCTCCGAGTCTTAGAATCTGATAGTCTCAAATGATTTTTTGCGCTTGTGTACGTACCAGTAAATTCCTTGGTAAAATGAACACAGACAGTATGATGTAAATAAAAATATATCAACATCAATTGTTCCTCCATTTCTCGCGACCATCAATTCCCTAAAAGTTAAAGATACGAGCTCACTGTCTTACCCCTGGCTTTGCTTCATGATATTATCATCACCCTGGCCATTCATTCCAAACACAGACAGACAAATGCAAGTTTGAACCCAAAGAGTCCTCCTTATCACCCAGATAATCTCCCAGCACTTGCGTTGCGTGCTCTGCCACTTATTAGTTTGCCACTCCGTATGCTACCTCAAATATCTACTATCTACTATCTATCTCCTATCTCCTACCTACTACTCCGTACCTATTTCAATCTCAACATCTCCCGCCAATTGATTGGCAGGAGAGATATTTAACATTCTGAGCTGTGAGAATCAAAAGATCAAGGAACAAGGAGAAATACCCAAGTCAACACTAATCAACTGCTTCCGACTTTCCGATACGAGACTATCGAAAAAAAAAAGGCCAATACCCAGAACCAGAACCACGCAAAGCCAAGGATTCTCCATTATTCCAGTTATACCCACTTTGTCACAGTTTCTGAGCTTGTCTCTTGTCTCCGCCAAGATTACCTTCCTTTCTCTTTCTACCCACCCAAATTCTAACACCCTTTAATACCACCGTATCTCTGCTTCTTTAGAGCTATACCACCCCTCTGTCGTTCTTATACAAGGATAGAAGCCGTGTGTGTCCTAATAGATCTTCCATTGTCGCTCGCTGCTTAACGATAAAATGAACAACTACTAGGGAATCATTGAACATGATACCTGATCATCTCGACTACATCCTCTGAGTTGTGGTTGATTTATAAATTGACATTGCTGGCAAAATCGGGCGGATTCATATCTCCGGACGAGATACCCGTCACCACAGATTCACTACCTTTTCGCGACACCTTTACGATATCCTCTATTGTTACGAGTTCGACCATTGATCTACGTCATAAAGTGCACATTCGAGAACGTTGATCTCTCGATCCATTGGGCTGGAAGCTAGGTGAGCTACGACTTTACATTGAGGGGTCCCTAGAGACAGTCGATCACAGTACCTCCCTCAACCACAAACACCAAACCTACTCGTTTTCGACCACCATTCAAAAATACCCTTTGGCGCGGCATTTCCTATACGTCCATTCCCTCCCGAAAGCTTCCATATATTAATCAACTTAGCCGTCTTGACGATGGCACGAAAACCCTCCCTCATGGCCTCATGGTCCACCGCGCTACTATCTTCCCTCGCCATTCTTAATATCATTTCTCCGGTCTCTGCCGGTGCCACATATGTTACGGGGACAAACTCTGCAGGAGAGACAGTTGAATTACTTGACAGTCGAACGCCTGCGTTGTTCACAGGGAATTTTGGAGATTGCATGGGTGGACAGAGTTTAATTAACGTTACGACATTCGACGCGGCTTACTACGCCGATAATATGACCGTTTTATTTCATCTCGCTGGTAACACGAATTTACAAAATGAGTCGGTAATGAGTAGGTTGCCCTGGATGGATAAATGATTCGAACCTAGCTAATCATGAATATAGTACATATTGGTGTGCAAGCTTGTAGGTAGAATGACCTGTCATGAAGATGTGATACTAATATTTGACTCAGATGGAGAGGATAGGTTTGATTTGACCTTCAATCCATGTAACGCAAATTTCGCCAGGTGAGAACGATTTTCCTGTATCCTAACTTGACTAACCGGTACAGTCTATGTCCCATGAATAGTAGCAAACCAATCAGTGGCGAAGCCATTATTCCAGTATCTGCATCTGATGTATCCGGAATTCCTGCTATTGCATTGGTGATTCCAGATTTTGAAGGATCTGCTACTTTGCGGGTATTTTCGAATACTACACAAACCGAGATCGCTTGTTTCCAAGCTGTCATGAGGAATGGGGCATCGTTTTCCCATCCAGCTGCTGTCAGCTCAGTCTTGGGAATATTCACGGCAATCGCCGTGCTTTCCTCGTTTGCTACAGCTATATATGGAGTCAGCGTACCGCATATTCGAACTCACTATGCCCACTCCCTTTCAGTATTGGTGGTATTTGAAGTTTTTCAATCGATCTTCCTTTCTGGGGCTTTGTCAGTGGCTTGGCCAAGTGTTTTACCGGCGTTTTGGAGTAATTTTGCTTGGTCGGCAGGTTTGATTTACACCCCATCCATGATCAAGTCAGTCAACAGCTTCACTGGAATATCCGGAAATTCAAGTCAGGTCGGTGGTGCAGGATCTTCTACTGTCAACAACAACGGCGGATTGCAACAGCAAATCTATGGGCGTTCCCTAAAGAAGTTGCAAGAGTACAGTCATTGGTCCAAAATGGCCAGGGGTAATGAGATGGTGAAGAGAATAGGATCGTTGACCCAACGTGCCACTAGCGACAATGCTACTAAAGGTTACAGTTGGAACGGAAGTCCTATTGGAGCTGGGCTGCCATTGCCTGGAAGTTGGTCCAATTTCACCGGAACACTCGCCAACATTGATGTTCCAGCCCAGGATGCTTTCTTGGTCAGTTTTCTATGGTACCTAATCTTGATTGTTATTCTTATTGCATCTGCAGTTGCCTTCAAGTTTATCTTGGAAGCATTTAGCAAGATGAAATGGATGAAGGAAGATCGGCTTGCATTGTTTAGGAACAACTGGATCAAAATCAGTGGACTAATCGTTCTACGATCAATGCTCATTGCATTCTTCATGATCATGACTTTGTCGCTCTACCAATTTTCTTACGGGGGCACAACAGGCATAATCGCAATTGCAGCCATCATCTTCATAATATTCTTCTTCGGAATTATGGCACTTGCCTTTTACGCTTGCTACTTCAGGCTTAGATTCGGCAATTATGCCTCGGCTCCTGATCGAATACATTTTCAACGAAAGAAAGTGATGAAGTTTCTCCCATGGTATGGAGCTGTCAGAGAGAGCAGCATGGAAGAGAGCGAGAAAGCGAAAACCTCTGGCTCTATATCTTTCTTCCGCCTGCACTACGTTGACCTAGACAAGGAGAGACGGAGTGTACACCAGGATGAGGAATACACTAAGCGATTTGGTTGGCTCTCGGCTCGATATAGAAGAACACGTTGGTGGTTCTTCGCATTCTGGGTTACATATCAATTTGTCAGAGCTTGTTTCGTTGGAGGTGCTCGTTCTAATCCCGATGCCCAAGTTTTTGGCAATCTCGTCGTCGAGATCATTGCCTTCATTGCTATTATATGCCTCAACCCCTTCGAGGGTGCCCGCAATACAGCCTTGGCGGTCTACATGCTTGGCATCAGTAAGGTTGCTACTGCAGGCCTATCGGTCGCATTCCTTCCACGGTACAATGTTGCACGCATTCCAACCACAGTCATTGGAGTCATTATAATTGTTATTCAAGGTTTCTTAACCATCGGCTTGCTAATACTCATCGTTCTTGGAGCCATCTCAAGCTACATGTCGATCATGCGCAATCGTGAGGAGTTTAGGCCACGCAATCTACAAAACATCCGCACAAAATACTTCGATCATCTGGAATTGAAAGCTGTCGATCTTCCACCCCCACCCCCACCGGTCCCCGAGGAGCCAAAGGAACCCTACTTCAGCGTTACCCAAGTTCGCCGAGCGCCTAAGATCGAAGACGAGGACACTGTGCCAGAGATGCCAGAGATGAGAGGAAATAGGGATCAAAATATATCACAGCCCTCACTACCTACGGCTGCTCGAAGCAGAGCCGCTAGTATGCGCAGTCAGCATTCTGGATACGGCAGTGTTCCATATGGAGCACGTGTCCATAGAGCAAGCTGGAGTTCCAAAGAATTTCAGAATTGGCAGCAGGATGAGATTGCCAGAGGCGACTCTCCCTTCAACGCGCCATCGAGACAACCGAGTATGAATCACACGGCCAACAACTCAACTTCTACTGCTCCACTTGTACATCCTAAGATGTCGCAAACGAGCTTAAGGTCAAACACACCGAAGAAGGAAAAAACGGCTCAATATGCCGATCAGAGAGTGGGTAATGCCAGTTAGGCACAGAGTTGATCTGCAACGAATTTATGACATGTGGATTGGGAAAATAAACAACTACACCGGGTGTAGTCTAGGCGTTAGGCGTGTAGCCTTCATCGAAATTTGCAAAGATGAAGGCATGCTATTGAAATTAATGGGTTTTGCATTCCAGCTAGCATCACCGAAGGATTATAGACCTCATATTTGTTGAAACATAAAGGCATAGTTATAACATGGTATGAATGGTATGAATGGAGTTATAAGGATTATAGCGCATACATACCAGTCCTTGTGAGTTACTGCACCGAGCGAGTCAATTCATTAACAAAAATAACAAGTAAATTTCTATAATTCATGATTACTTTTATTGATGCGTGTGTTTCTCCGATGAATGATGTACTGGTATATATGCATACCTATGTTACCACACCTTGCTACAAACGTGTTATTATTATGAATATTTCAATATTTCACCTTTCGAGAAAGGATTGTATCTTCACTTTTCAGGTCGGCGATCTGGCCGCACGCGAGCACACCTTTGCTGGAAAATCACCTCGAGTTCTGAAAATACCAAAGGTCTGTTATCACAAACTTGGTTTCTCCTCTCCCTTGATTTACCTACTACAAATTCAGTTACTTCATCTCCTATATTTCCAGCCCATCTCGTAGTTGTACTTTCTTCATACTTCTCCATACAACCTCAGACGAGTCGTCAATTTGGTGGAAAACAATCGGCGTATTGAAGGCCACTGAAGTTCTTGGTGCGCGTGTGCATCCACAATCAGTGGTGAATTTACTCATTGTGAAGTGATTCAAATTGAATTGAACCAGGAAGTATGTTCTACAGCCATGAAAGTACGTCTCTTATCTGCGCTCAGGTCTTCACTGCATATCTCACCATTCTGCTTATTTCCTTCTCTATCGTTTCAACTGCCTTTCCATAATTATTTTTCTAATACCACTACTAGTTCTCACCTCTCGAAAACATGGTATCGCAACAGTATGGCTTGTCGCGACCCTAGGTAGTAAATCATCGACCAAGAAAATCACTCGAAAAGCCATCCTTGACGTTGATGTCAAGAAAGCCTGCAATACAATACTCGAGCCTGATGCTCCAATGGCATTACGTCTACAGAGCAATCTTTTGTATGGTGTTTCAAGAGTGTATGGTCAACAGGTAGGGTACGTCTTGAGCGATACCATTCATGTCGAGCAGAATTTGAGGGGACTTGGAAAGAAGTTAATCGGAAGCTTGGATTTAGAAATTGTTAAGGTCAAGTGAGTGTTGTGAATTGTGACCCTAATTTATGATGGGCTAAGCTGACTTTTCATGAAAACAAGACCAGCCCAATTGATGCTCGTGGATGATCCTGCTTTCGATCCAGATCTTCCACTTCCAGAATTAATTCTAGATTACAATTTTGACATTGACGCTGGTCAGTCGCAAAATCGCGATTCGCAAGTTTCATTATCGATTCACTCACAGCGCGGACGAAGCAGCTCCATCTCCTCTTCTGGAGTTGCTTCTATTATGGGCTTGAATGTTTCTTCGAGTCTCAGTGCGGGCAACTACCAGCTTCCTCTCAACGATCCATTTGTAAAGTCTTCCGCGCTGAGATCGGGCACTCTGAGAGATGAATTTGATGACGAAGCTATCTTGTTCGAAGCCAATGATCTGTTTGAGATTGATCAAAACGGAGAAATTAGAGATCTGACAGCTCAAGATATTGCCGCTCGGCGGGCAGCAAATACCAGCGTAGCTCCGAGGTTTGGTAGTGACTCGGCTGCTAGTGCAAGAGTTCGCAAAGAACAGGACGATGCTAGGCTTCAAATTGGAGATAACGCTCATATATACGACGAAGATGGAGATTTGAACATTGTGTTTGGAGACGATGATGGCAGAATTGCATTACCTGATGCGGAGCCTTTGGAAGTCTTCATGAGTGGTGCTCTACCTGCTCCTTTACCGGGCCGCGAACAGTCGCTCTCACAACCCGAAGATTCCTCATCTGAAAGCGCAGCCGCACCTTCGCGGCCAAGAAAACCTAAGACCAAGAGACAACTTCCCATCGACCAAACCCAAGAACTCAAGAATTCAGTTCTTTCAATCTGGCAAAGAGAGTACGTCGATACTCAAGACACTCTCCGTGCAGCAAAGTTAATAGCGAAGGGAAATACATTGGCCAAGCAAAATGCTCTCATGTTTGTCATTGGAAATGGTCTCAATGGAGCTGGAATTGGAATTGGTTCAACAAAGCTTCCAGGCCCTTTGAGTATGTTCTCGGGCGATGCGCTTCTTGCAAAGATTACAGGGCGAGTGTTGAGTTCTTCTAAACGTCAAGCAGATTTCCAAGGGGAAGACAATATTTCTAATAAGCGATCTCGCCATGTTTCTGACGAAGAAATTCCTCGCGATTTTAGGGGTGATGACGAATTTGCCATTCAAGTTGACGACGAGCCATTTGGTACTCCGGTCGAGGTGGAAATGGGTAGAGATGCAGCGGAGGGATTAGCCGAGTATCCAAGCAGCGCGATGATGCCATGGAACTTGTCTGCCAGTCAAAGAGCTCGCTCTTCAAGCTTACGCCCCGCTTCTTCACTCAGACTCGGTAGCAGAGGAGTCTCTGCCAGTCCCTTGGTGGGAAGAGGTAGCATTTTGCCTGGTGGAGGCGAATTGGAAAAGTTCTCTTCACAGCAGGATGTTATTATGTATGGACGAAGTGATGATATCAGCACCAATCTGGATGGGGAAAGCGTCGATGGAACGAATTTGGGAGCTTTTGAACGAGCAAATAGAGAGTCAACTAGGGAGTTTGAAATGTTCGGGCCCGCTGCAAATGTGGACACACAGACAGCAGGACAAAGCCAGTGGGCTAGAGACGTTATGGATACGGAAAGTGAGAATTTCCTCGAATTTGTCCGATTATCCATTGCGGAGAAATATGACGACGAGGACGATCTCTTTCACGAGGATGGTCAGTTGAGAGATAAGAAAGTAGGATTCGAGGATCTCTTCAACCCGGCAACGAATAGTGAGGTTGTAGCAGCTCAGGCGTTCTTACACATATTATCTTTGGCTACTAAGGGGAAAATCTGGGTTGATCAAGATGAGGGCGAGAGTATGGATGTAGGTGGAAATGGATTGGGTGGAGAGATTTGGTTGACGTGCTTGTAGTTTTGTTTTGAAGGGATTCGAGGTCGTGCCATCGGCTAACTTGTGATCTGCGCATACATGTGATGAGCGAGCGGGTGAACGAGAGATATACCAGTGGACATTTGCCATGTTTAAAATGGGTTTGATAGTCGATTTGAACTGTTATCAAAGATATTGACAGGGGACCGGACAAAGATTTATAGTTGCTACAGTTTGCTATGTTGATGGATTTTATAAAGGTACTTGCGGTGGATGAGTTAGCGATTCTCGAATCATACGAAAATGAAAAGAAAGGATATGTAACGTTAGCTTATATAATATTTGATCGCAAAATCTCTAAATACATGAATGAGAAGCAAAGGTGCTTGCGCTTCAAAGTGACGATCAATGCTAAAGTGTCGTAAGTCATACAACGTAGAAAGTGTTAATAGCACAAGAACGAGAAACTATCATGTACCAGCATCAAGAGATGGGGTTAGCTTTATAATAACAGTCAGAAAATTTACCATACTGCCCTTCACACTTTCTCAAGGGGAAATTTCGACTCCTCTCCAATCCCAACAACGCCCTCTACTCTCAATTCCCTTCGCCATTGCAACATCCCACAACTTCTCAACCGCAAACTCAGGACTAAATAGTTTACCCTCCTTGACACCTCCCCAAAATTCTTTTGACAAGCCCGTCTTCACCGTCCCGGGATGATACGAAATAGCAAGTGCATTATCCCCATGTCTCGTTTTCAAAAAAAGATCAAAAGTCTTCGTTAAAGAATTCACCGCTGCTTTCGAAGCGCGATAACTATACCACCCCCCAAGTGCATTATCCGAGGTAGAACCTACGCGAGCTGACATGTTGAGCCAGAGGGCGTGGGGCGGAAGATTTTTTGTGTCGGGGGAGGAAGAGAGATCTAGACGTTTTGGGGGGAGAAAGGGGGAAAAGTGTTTGGTGAGGAGGAGGGGGCCGATGGTGTTGACGGCAAAGGTGTGTTGGATTTGGGATTGGTCTAATTGGGCGGGCGACTTCTCAGGGTAGAGAATACCCGGGATGGAAAAGGCGAGACGGAGATGATGGGACGAGGAGGGGAAGAGAGATGAACATTTTTCTGCGGCCGAGGAGATGGTGGATTCATCTGGATTGTGTTAGGATTTTGGGATTTTATATTTTGGGGACATTGATATTGGAATCTAAAGATTTCCAATATATGAACTTGTTTTGAGTGGTTGAGTGAGACAATGAATCACTTACTCGTGACATCGACCTCCAATACAGTCAATCTCTTGGGATCAACATCTAAGTCTGCCAAAATAGATTTCTTCGCTCCTTCAGCATCTTTCCTCGACGTTGCCACGACGGGAAGTTGTGTGTTTTGAAGGAGATGTCGAGTTAGATAAAAACCAATTCCTCGATTTGCGGGACAAACTAGTGACCATGCCATTTCTTCTCCTTTTTCAATTTATTATACTGTATTGTAGTATTGTAGGAATTTGGAGATTGGCGTGAGTACGGAGAAGGATCAAGTAGAGGGGAGGAGCACGACGTTTTATTTGACATCAATGGCAATGACAATGTCAGCATCATTGATATATTTTAAAAGAGCCATCCTTACAAGTGGCGGGTGTGGCTGGACGATCCATTGACATCGGGCGGTCGATCTTTCCATGCATCTATGTTGCATTTTAGATCGGGTGTGTGGGGTGTAGCTAAGCTAACTAGAGATTAACTCTAAGTTTGAACTTTTGAATAGGAATTAGTCATTGGATGAATTCTTGATGTCAAAAAGGGGGGTCTTGACGTTCTAGCGAGATCAATTGAAAATTGCGAATCTATAATCACAAGGATGGCAAGAGCTCATTACATATTCATATCTTGAAGCCATTGTAGAAACCATTTTTAAGAAACGCTGAAACAATGCTATAAATCTCTCTTCCCATCCCAACACCATGCCCGTCAACAATTGTTGTTGCTAGCCATTTCAAAACATTGATTATAGTATAATAGTAACAAAATGAAAGATTCTTCGATCATCTATCACAAAGCGACATCTTGAAAGCTAGCATTTCCTGGTGTCTGATTCCCGGATGTGTTTTCCTCGCCCGACTTGGTCAAATCATCTGCTGATACTCCGAATGGTGCTGCAGGTCGGAGAGCAAGTTTCTGTTGTTCTACATCTGAAGCTCTAGACTTCTGCTCTTCAGACACTGCTGTCTTTTCTGTATCTTGCTTTTCTTGCACTTCTCCCGAGTCGCTACTAGAATCACCCTCTTCTGGTTCCTTCTCTCTCTCCTCCTTATCCGGTTTGGGTGTATCTTTTGCGGGTGGAGTAGGAGGGACAGTTTGACCATTCGTACCGTTTGTGTTCGTGGGTGGTGGTGAAGTAGTTGGAGTGGTGACTTGTTCTCTGGGTGGTTCAGCTTGTGCTGGTTGAGCAGGAGGTGCGTTCGAAACTATTTGTCTCTGTTTTGGATCCGCATCAAGATAATATTGCCTAACACCCACGATTCTTCCACCCCTCTCACAGCCCTCAACCCATTCCGGCCTTACAACTGGAATATTCATCTCGACGGCTTTCTCCCAAGCTATACCTCTACCTTCTGTTGTGACAAAGTGTGTTGTGTCGATTCTCACAGTATCTGCCATCTTCGCCCCGATCCTCTCAACTGCCTTGACAAGACTATCTCTCAATGAAGCGGGCAGAATACCAGGCGTAACAGTAATACCACTTAGATCCGTCATTTTATGCGTCTTTACAACCACCTTCTCACTACTAAAAGTTCCGGCACTTGTTCTCAATACCAGATGAAATGTGTATTCTGTATCAACAGCCAATCCACTGATCTTTGTGCTCAGCATTTGACTCGGCCTTGGGATATTACCAGCCTTTTGTCCATTGCGGAAGAGGGAGAGTGAGATAACATCTGCGGTTGCTAACTCAATATGATCCCATTCTAAAACGACAGAAGTCTGAGTCGCATTGCGACAGCGAAGAACTGGTGCAGACGGTTCCGATGCACCAAATGAATTGAAGATAGAATCTTGGAGCGCGACGAATGATTTTTGTGATTTTTCTTCCGAGACGAGGTTTCGTGCAACAGTGATATCGACTATGCTACCGGATGTGATGTTGGGTGGAAGGAGAATAGATGGAAATTCAATCTGGGAGGGGTATTGTCAGTTATGGAGGTTGGGGGAAGTAACATGTGCAATGACGAAGTTGTATATATGTAGTCAATGTGCAGTTGATTAAATCATTGTTGAGAAGATAACTTACGAGTCGTTTATCTTGAGTTAATAAGACGGCCACTCCGGCATCGACTTTACCCACGGTGAGTGAAATCAACATGGCGAATATTCCTTTTAATGTGCCAAAAAGGAATGGAATTCATTAAGATACGTTGCGACAGCTTCGCGATTGCGATCGTCCCAGATTAGCTTCGAGAGCTCCAGCGTGTGTTCAGGCGGCGCTAATTGGTTGGATCTGGCACAGCCGCAAAATTGATGAAACATTTCTGGTGTGAACTTCTTGTAATAGTAAATGCAATATCTACCTACGAGTATATATGTTGTATCTTTTGAATAGTTTGAAAAGGCTATATATAGTCTGGCTATCAAAACGTGGAAGATTTTAAGATTTGTTTCTATTTATTATTTTGCATTATGTTCCGTCACTTTTGATAGACTGTTCCACCAAATACCTTATTCTTGGTGTTTTTCTTCTTCTTTGGTAAGTTCACTGTTGTACCACCCTCCTTTTCCTTCGCCTTATTTTTCATCTGGACCCTTTTCACTTCAATGGGCACGCCCTTAGTCTGTCTGCTGGGATTTTGATTTGAATTGTTATGTCGAGCTTCACGTTCCAGCTTGAACTTTCGTATTAATGCCGTCACAGCCATCTCCGCTTGATTTTGTAAAACATCCATCTTTGCAGTCAAGGCCTTATCTTTGGCAGATATTATCATCGTACCAACTAGATCCTCGCCCTTGCTACCCCTTTCTATACTGTTGGATATCCTTTTCCCAGACAAGTCATAGTCGTGGTTCTTCAAGGCTTCCCTAATCGCAGTTCTGATCCTCCGTACCATATGGGTTCTTATAACTTTCTTGTTTCCTCCATGGACTTTCGCACAAAATACAGAGAGCCATAAAGGCGAGGTCTTGTTGACCAAAAGGTGCTGAATGTTATAGTGATCTGGGTTGTAGGTTTTTGATACCGCTGGAGCTTGATGAGAGCCATAGGCGTGGTGAGCGGAAAGCTTATAAGAAAAACATTGATCGTCCCCTGTGATACCTTTGAATGATCCATAAGCTAGAGCATCTATTGATTTCAATTGACCCGAGCGTATCAGCTGGGAGAATTTCGATTCCACAGCAATTGCAGCTGTTCCAGTCGCTCTAGCAGCCATCTCCAGTCGAGTATTGGAATGGTCTTGAGGTGAGAGTAGTGTGCGTCAGAATCATTGGCTACTAGCTCATATTTTTCTTTGTTTTTGTAATAGTAGACAATAACCTTGAAAACTGGCGGATGTATTGAACATTGTTTTTTTATGTTTTGAAAATGAGGGTCTCGATCAATGACAATGGAGCCGTAACAAAGCGAATTCATCAATTTGGTCGGATCGGATCTCTTTAGCGTGCGCCAAGACCCCACCACTAGTGAACCACAATTTATGACACTACTCCAGCCCAGAAATAAATTATTGTTTGCTACTTAATCGCCTTCTTCTTCCTTCTTCATTAATCTTATTCCAACACCACACCCAAATCAACGATACCGCAAACCACAAGCACCCTCCAAACCGAAATCCAAGAAACCACAGTAAGGTAAAGCAACAGCAAATATGCCTAAGAATAAGGGAAAGGTAAGACATTGTCGCATTTTTTATTGGAAATATGCCACCCCACTATCTTGATCTAGGCTGACACAGTTGCGAAAAATAGGGAGGAAAGAACAGGCGTCGTGGAAAGAACGAGAACGATAACGAGAAGCGTGAATTAACCTTCAAGGAAGAAGGTCAAGGTACATATTCCCTACTCCCTGAGGCTACTATTTTTGCAACCTCTATTTACCTTCACTTCTCCTTTACCGCTCCTTGTCTTTTAAGTCATTCTACTCTGCAGACGACCAACTAACGGCTCCCTGCAGAATATGCCCAAGTTATTAAGATGCTTGGAAACGGTCGTTTAGAAGCTCTCTGCTTTGACGGCACTAGACGTCTCGCACATATCCGTGGAAAGCTCAGAAAGAAGGTCTGGATCAACCAAGGAGATATCATTCTCCTTTCTCTCCGTGATTACCAAGATGAGAAGGGAGATGTCATTCTCAAGTACAGCGCCGACGAAGCCAGAAGTTTGAAGGCTTACGGAGAACTACCCGAGAGCGCAAAGATCAACGAGACGGATACTTACGGACAAGGCGAAGACGGAGATTGCAACTTCGAGTTCGATGACGACAGAGATAGTGGTAGTGATTCTGATGATGCTGCCGAAGGAGGAAAGGGCAAGGAGATTGATATTGATGATATCTAAAATGTTCTGGGGGTTAGTGGCTCCCCTCCACGATTGATAGTGGTGGTTAGGGGGATGGAAAGAAAGACTGTCTTCTCTCTCAATCTCGTTGGATCTGGTCACTGTTTTACTCGCTGGATCCCGAGAACCTCGACAGGCATTTTTCCTTCTAGTGCTTCATTCGACTGGCGATACTTGTATAGTGGGAGAGACGTTATGCATGTATTGACCAGGACTCTTAATTCCAATCTACCTAGCATAGACTGAAGGCTATCCGAATAATGAACTAGTCTTTTTATTTCATTCTGAATGTATCACCTGTGATTTGCGCCGAATTGAATGCATCACTTCAAGGCCTGACCACGGTGCATATAAAACGTCGACATACACGTTTTGTAATTTCGTAATTTCCAATTTTTAATGTTTTCGATTGATTTGACTACTGAAACTCCTTGCAGTTGAGTAACACGTATCTCTTAAGCCAACCACGTTACTTTACAGCAGCCAATTCCGACTAACAGGGCTTTGACTGAACGTCTCTTCTTTACTTGACTTAGTAAACGCTCAATATACTACAAAGTTCGCCCCCCCTTTGACTTCATTCCTCTACTAAACTTAACAACTAATCACATCATCACATCGCATTTACCAATCATCATCTTCCGCTTCGTCATCTGATCAAAATGTTAGCTTAAGATACAAACTCTAAGATTACGGAATAAAAACTCACCACTAGCACTAACTTTCTGCTTTCTCTTATTCAAAGCAGCTGCCAAAGCATCCGCCAATCCACCTCCGCCTCCTGAAGATGCACCAGCTGGAGGAAGTCCACTACCCGCAGGACCAGTGTCTGCACCGGGAACGGCAGCAGCACTTCTGTCTCTAATTTGCGATCGATCAACTTTCTTGAGAGCTCCAATACCACCGGCCTTTTGAATGTTTGCCATTAGGTCAGCACGATCACCAGTAGGCTTAGGTGGCGGTGGAGCACTCGAAGCATGGCCAGAATCGCGATTTGGAGGTGGAGGTGGAGGTGGGGGAGCTGGAGGTCCATTTCCTGGAGGTGGTGGAGGTGGTGGAGGACCGCCAAATGATGGCATAGGTGGAGGGGGAGGGGGAGGTGGTCCTCCAAATGCTGGGGGTGGTCCAGGCGGTGGGGGAGGTGGAGGAGCAGCAGATGATGGAATAGGTGGAGCAGCGGATTGCGGTAAAGGAGGTGGAGGTGGGGCGCTCATTTGAGGCAAAGGAGGTGGAGGTGGTGCAGTATCTCTCGGAGGTAAAGGCACAGGACGCATCGAAGCAGGAGGCAAGGGGGGAGCACCTGGAGATGCTGGAGTTTTGGGCGGTAAAGGCGGAGGAGGAATGTGTGCAGGCGGTATAGCATGGCTACTGTGTGATTGATGGATATCTCTAGGAGGCGGGGGCGGAACAGGACCTCGTTGTGGAGTAGGAGGTGGTGCCGTAATTCTTGTCCCCGTGAAAGGGGGAGGAACTCCAAATCTTGAACCTGATTCCCCTGGTTCGTAATCTTCGATGGGCGTTTTCGCAGGCCTAGGTGGTGGGGGTGGCCCTGGATTAGAAGCAGCATGTGCTCGAGAAGGTGCTCTATCATTGGTATGCGCAAATTTTCCAGCATCTGCGATTGGCGGTGGAGCTGCAAACCTGGGCGGAGGAGGACCCCTGGGTGGTGAAGGCTCTCTTGGCGGTGTTGGCTCTCGAGCAATATCTGCTTTGGATCGCCGTGGTGCAGGAGGTGGAGGTGGTGCACCTCGTCCATGACCGACAGCAGAACTCTGAGGACTATCGGAACGTGTTCGAGGTGCTGCTGGAGGCGGAGGTGGAGGAGGGGCTTTATTTCTTTGATTTTCGATACCACTAGGCGTAGGTGTTATAACTTGTTGAGCTTGCTTTTCTCGAATATAGTCTGCAATGAAATCCTGATTGTCCCTGATTATATCGTCTGTAATACCCATTTCTCTCAAATCCTCGCCCCATGTTTCTCGCCAATGAGGATCGATCGCTTCCAAAGCTGCGTATTCGGCCGGCCCTGTCCTGAAGCTTCCGCCCGAGTGCCTGTGGTTCTGCGTTGCATGCGCCGGCTGTGAAGATGGGAGTACGTAACTAGGCGAATCGGGGGGAGTAGGCTGTATTGATGGGGCAGAAGAATGTCTGTGTCCACCGAAAAATCCCCCAAGGAGACTGTGTTTATGAACCGGCGCAGCGCCTCCGAAAGGATTGGCCTTTGTAGCTTTACTAGCATTCTTTTCTCGATCATTCATCTTTTTCATGAAGGTCTTGGCTTCCTTCTCGTCTACGAAGGACAATCCAGCTAGACATTCTTCTGTTTCGAAAGTATGGAAGAATGTTCGATCTTGGTTATATGACCAAGTATCATATATCTCTTGGTCCCATATGACGCCTTTGTTCGTAGGCTATAACACGAAAGTTAGCTTTGAATATTGATGAAGTACTTCCGGGATAGTATAGAGGTGAGCCACTGACCGAGATATCGACCAGTTTTATCCAGTAGGTATTTCCGACAAGATCATTCGCAAGAACTGCAGCTCCTTGTAGACCAGTATATGTCCATTTATGACGATCGGGATAAGCGATATATAGACGGGCGACTGCTACTGCTTGTATTTTGTTCGAGGCCTTTGGCACCATGCGTTTGACCGTCTCTTTATCGTCGTCTGACAATATGGAAGGCATTTTGTGGGCTTATTGAATATCTATCGGCCCCGATAGACTATTCGAATTTATATCGTATCGGACTTTCTCCTATAATATGTATCTTCGTAGGGCTTTTGGAAATAGGGTTCGGTCGTGTGGGAGATTGCTCTCGTGTTGGTCGCACTTCTCACACTTCTTAGAAGCATTGGAAAGTAGCGATGATTGTGCGATAATTCTCTTCCTATCGCAATGATTCGAAGTAGGGAATTGAACCAAAAAGTAAAGCGAATGATACTGGTCCTCTAGGTAGCCGAATTCCGCAGCGACTATGTGCTGATTCACAATGGTTGAAACGGTCAATGTCAAGTTGGGCACAGATGTAGATTGTCGTACTCCGTATGTGTGTATGGGTAATGCTGCTACGACAAAAATGCCAAGTAATTCAGCCACTGGTCGGGGCAAAGCCACAGAATGTTCCGAATCTCAGAGAAACGAATGGGCATCTCACAATTCCACATCGTATTACCTCTTACGAAAGTACGAATGCGACCGGCTTTCACATTACTGTTGTAACGCGCGTACTATTGATAGGTATCTATGTTATTTTTGAGAAATTCATGAGAATCTCACAATTTATGTCGTAGATTGATATTTTAACAGGCAAAATCTTAGTCTATACAACTACCAACGACTCATCGGTGCATCTGTACTGCATGACAATCGACTGGTAATGGAATGGCGATTAATCACTCTTGTACGAGTATGAGGATGACAACATACACAGCACACCACTCATATCAAATATGCATATTTGAGAAAGACGGAAGTTTTATTTCGTACTGGTCGTCTTTGCTAATCAGATATGTACCACATTATGTCCACTATCATCCGTTTCCATAACCATTCCACCCTTCCCAACGCCAGCCATCCATGAGTTCTTGCTTCATTAACATTACGTTCGGGATGATCGTACGATTCGTGTAAAGCTTTTCTTAAAGTCTATTGAATCAGTTTAGACTTTTGGGTAGATTAATGATAGGCATACCGAAGAGCTTTACTTTACTTGTTCAAAGCAGCAGTCTTTGCTTCACGGTCCGCCTTTGATCCCTCTTGCTCAGGCATACTTTGAGGGACAACAGGTCCTGGGTTTGCCTCGTGATGACGGAATTGGACTTTCTCTCCCTTAACTTCGCCTTCATTATGGAGGGGGTGGTCGCTCGCATTGTTATCGGTCTTTGAGGATGAGTTCTTCATAACGTGCTCAGTTACTTCACCGGCTTGGTGGTGGTGAGTTTCGTCTGGACCGGCAGGCATGATGTAGGGTTTTGGTTTGATTAGATTATTTGACTTTGAATAAATTTGTGTATTCGTAGTTTGTAGAGTTAGATGGTATGAAGACAAGAGCTTTTCAGCAACAGGCTTCCTTCATTCTCTCTTCTATATAAGCCATATTTCCCCTCATGACGTAGGCAGGCGTAGCTCGAAGACCACGGGATAAAGCTCTCTCTAGCTTTGTCGCTAACTTCAACTACCAATAACTATGGTTCCTCGAACAATGTTTGCGATAAGATCAAGATTTTGAGCATATCGAATGAACCATTAGATCAGATCAGCCTAAGTCTTTGCCTAAAATAGGCCACCTGAGACATTTGACGTGGGTAGCTACGGATATACTATATACTGAAAACGACTTCTGACATCGTGTGTGGTTCGCGTTAACCTTCAATTGGTCTTCAATTGGTCAACGCGTCATGATACCTCCAAGATGTCTTCATCAAACGGCGAACAACAACCCGTGAAGCTGTCACTGCCATTGGTAAATTCAATCTTCCTTTGTACGAATGATATCTTAATGAGAACTGCAGAAATATCAACAAGAGATATTCCAAGAGCTTCGACAAAAAGATGAGCTTGTCGTTCTTGCTCGTGGCCTTGGCCTCTTGAGACTTGTTACGAACCTCCTCCATTCATATGATGCAGCAGGAAATAACCTAATAATACTGGTTGGTGCAGATGATCGAGAGAATGGATGGATTGGAGAAGCACTGGCAGAGCACGCTGCTATCAGCATGGCTCCTAGAGCGCGAGGTCTTTCTGTTGTCAATACAGATCTCATGAGTGTCGGCACAAGAGAAAAGATGTATGCACAAGGAGGAATATTTAGCATTACATCTAGGATTCTTGTTGTCGATCTTTTGACTAATCTATTAAACACCGAGACAATCACTGGCGTGGTAGTGCTACATGCAGATAAGGTTGTTGCTACATCACTGGAAGCCTTCATACTTCGGATATACAGACAGAAAAATAAGGCTGGATTTCTCAAAGCCTTTTCGGACAATCCAGAACCATTTGCGACGGGATTTTCGCCATTGTCCACTATGATGCGAAATCTATTCCTACGCAACGTCTCAATATGGCCAAGATTCCATATAAATGTTGCTCAAGCTTTGGAAGGCAAGAAAAAAGCCGAGGTTATTGAACTTGAGGTTTCAATGTCTGACTCCATGCGAGATATCCAGAATGCCATAATGGAATGTGTAGAGGTTAGTATTGGTGAATTGAAGAAATCAAACTCTGGGTTAGAGATGGACGACTGGAACGTTGATAGTGCTCTACACAAGCAATTTGACATGGTCATCCGAAGGCAGCTCGATCCAGTATGGCATCGAGTCAGCTGGAAGACAAAACAGATTGTCAACGACTTGACTGTCCTGAGAGGGATGCTGCATTCTCTATTAACATATGATGCGGTCTCATTCAATCGTCATTTAGATATGATTCTTGCTGCGCATCAGCCTCCTGCTGGATCTACAAGGCAAAATCAATCTCCTTGGCTGTTCCTTGATGCAGCACATACCATATTCGATACAGCGAAAAGAAGGGTATACACAGGCAAGGCTACACGAACGGATGACGTGGATTCTCTGAAACCCGTGCTAGAAGAACAGCCAAAATGGTCAGTGCTTGCTGAAGTGCTAGATGAAATTGATAGAGATCTCTACTTCAATCCCGTGCCATTGGATGACTCTAACGGCACGATCTTGATAATGTGTACAGATTCGGCTCAATGTTGGCAGTTGCGAGAGTACCTTCAAAGTATGCACGCCCGTGCGGAAACAACCGAAAATGATGAGGATGAAGATCAGGAGCCATCAGCAGAAATCATGATGAGGCGAAAATTGCGCAGCTACTTAGAGTGGAAAAAGAAGTTCGCGAAAATTAGCGCGGCTCTTTTCCATGAGAATCAAAACGCACTTAACGGTATTAGTAACGCCAACAGTATTACGAACAGCTCGCGAGGTAAAGCTCCAGCAAACAAAAGGAGGAGAGTGAGAGGGGGCGCCTCGAGCTCAGGATCCACACGCGCCACCAATGGCAGTCTACAAGCTGCGGAAGATAAACCCCTAGAAGTTGCTGAATTAATGTCAGAAATAAAGCCAACAGAAGTGGAGGAATTGCAGAAAGAAGAGGTCATTGCCGATCCTTTGGATGACATGGAAGATTACTATCAGCTTTATGAGATGAAGGATCTTGTGGTAGTTCATGCGTATGACGGAGATATGGATGAGCATATTCTCGAAGAAGTAAAGCCGCGGTATATCATCATGTATGAACCCGACACATCTTTTGTTCGCAGAGTAGAGGTTTATCGCTCTTCACATAATGATCGAAACGTCCGAGTATACTTCCTTTATTATGGCGGGTCGGTAGAGGAACAACGCTACCTGTCATCCACTCGCCGAGAGAAAGACGCCTTTACCAAACTCATAAAGGAAAAGGCTAACATGTCTGTTGTACTGACTCTTGACGCACATGGCATCGAAGATCCGCAAGAAGTCTTCCTCCGTACTATAAATACACGTATCGCCGGTGGAGGACGCTTAGCGGCCACAGCCCAGCCCCCACGGGTGGTAGTTGATGTTCGGGAATTCCGCTCCTCACTTCCATCTTTACTTCACGGTCGAAGCATGGTCGTAGTGCCTTGTATGCTTACTGTCGGAGACTATGTCCTCTCTCCCAACATATGTGTGGAGCGTAAATCAATCAAGGATTTGATTTCGTCATTCAAAGATGGTCGTTTATACAATCAAGCCGAAACTATGCTCGAACACTACAAGTCACCAATGTTACTCATTGAGTTCGATCAAGGCAAATCTTTCACCCTTGAACCGTTTGCTGATCTCTCAGGCTCTTTATCGTCCGTATCAGCCGCAAACGCATCATCCGATCTCCAATCCAAACTTGTGCTCCTCACTCTTGCTTTCCCCAGACTCCGCATTATCTGGAGTTCTAGTCCATATCAAACTGCCGAGATATTCGAAAGTCTTAAAACACAAGAACCCGAACCAGATCCTATACAGGCAGTAAAGATCGGACTTGAAGGTGGTGCAAGTGCGGAGGATCAAGTGTTTAATCGGGAACCTCAGGATATGTTAAGAGTAGTGCCTGGAGTTACGGGGAAGAATCTGGGTAATCTAGTAATGGAGTTGGGGAGTATTAAGGAGGTGGCTAATGCCGATTTGGAGGAATTAGAGCCGGTGGTTGGGAAGGAGGCTGGAAGACAAATCCATCGATTCTTCAATAAAAGTGTACTCGAATGATATAGCATTGGATATATTCAGACAAATCAACTGTTTGATGTATTTAGAAAATAACGTATTTTTGTATGTGATTATCTCGCACTCGCCCATCGCATGCGCGGCCATGAGTTCTGGCGCAGCACCCAAAAGCTAACTAGCCAATTGGATACTATAACCGACGAACGTTTCACATATCATACACAATCTAGATTCTAAACATACATCATTGAGATACTCACATATCCATCATAAATATCAGGCCACAAGCGCTTCGAAAACCAAGCTTTGTACAAGTGGATTCCAAATACTAGCACCACACCGACCATGTCTCAATTCGAATCGAAGCACCAACACGCACGATGAACTAGACGTTATCTTTTAATCCAAGCCCCCGATCGTTTGGTTGTCCACCTGTCTTAACGTTTTTTCTCCATTAAAATAATATGTAGACTGTCACTGTTACATGTATTATGTATGTATGATTGTAAAAATGTATGTAGTATGACATTTATATTCCGAAATATCGTACATACCATGGGTCTTGGTATTAAGGATCGGGACTTGGGTTGTGCTATCGTTGATTTTGAAATGGATGATGAGATGAGTGAAGACGGATGAATATGGATTCTTGTACGTATAGTATGCATTAATTTGTGATATAACAAGTCTACGCATAATAGATGGTTTTAGTTTTGGGCAGAAATGAATGTACCAATGGTACTCGCGGTACTGTATGTGTTTGACACAGGGCTGGATGTCGTGAAGTTGGTGATGGATTGTATCCTACCCCGGTCGACTTGTCCTCCAACGGTTTGAGGAAATCTAGATTTCCAAAATGAGATTGCTGGCCAGGAAGAATGCCTTGGATGTGTATAGGTGACCACATATAGACCACATACAAGTTATATGACATTTTCTTCTCACCTACTAGATATATACATACACATGCACATGTAGTACGAATTACAATGTAATCAAAATATCGGAGAAAAGTGCCGCTTCCTCAGTTACTAGCCATGAGATGAGATAACCTCGCATCACGATTCACGATTCACGATTCACGAAAACGAAAGTGTAGTGAGTGTGTGGTCACTGTGGTGTGGATCCAAGAAATTTTCAATCTCCAAGTTTGATTTCTTCTATCTTGACTTTTTTCTCATTGGATGAGAGAATACAATATGAAGTGTGAGTTAAGAAGAAAAGACTGCACTGATCCAGAAGGAGTCGGGTATGGCCTTGTTGGCCTTGTTGGCATTGAAGGGTTCATCTGGTCAATTCTCTTGATTTCCAGGTCTGGTCTGGTCTGGGGAACTACGTCATCATAGGTCAGACAATTAAGAGAAAACAGAGAGCAGGGACCATTCATCCATTCATTGACCCATTCATCACACCCTTCCTTTGTTCGAATTTCGATGCAGCATCATCTCGTAAAACCGAGTCAGATAAGAAAAATCAAATACAAAAGTTCAATATCAGATCTACAATCTCCTCTTATTCCCCTCCAGTAACATCACCCTGAAACTTAAAAAACTTAAAAATGCATCCGCTCATGTGGCTAGTGACATCAAGATATCAAACGCCACAGTGGCTGACATCACTAGACTCATCAAGCGCGCCACAACTACCACTCTAGGCTTTATCACGGGAACTAATCCCCGTAATCAACGGCATGGCATACCTAAAACGGAGACTTGTTCATACGCCATGCCTTGATTTTGATTTAAGTCTAAAAACGAAGAAAAATGCGAGACGTTGGTATGTGATTCCTTCCGACGCCATTATATCCAATGAGAGTGAGAGGATGAAATGAGTTATTCTTCTTTTAGTAAGGCCAAGGGGATTTAAGAGGCAAGGGATGAGAAAAAGAACAAGGTTGGTATGGGTAAGTGTAAAAGGACGAGTGAATAAAGAAAATCTGATGTGACCAAATTTCTGATGGTGACGTCACTCAGATTTAATTCCCGGGCAAGGCAGGGCAAGGCAGGGCACAGAGCAAGCGGGTACGGCACTGGGCAAAGGGTGTTTGTACCTGTTTGACCTAAAATATTGACAGGTCTTGGACCGGATTTTATTTTTATGACTAGGTAGGTAGGGTAGGTAGTACTGTTATTATGGTATGACGCTACTATGGGATCATTTGATTGGAAAGGATGGGACGGCAGGTTTTGAAGAGGTGGTGAGGAATCAAATATATAGAGTGCCATCTTTCTCCTTATTTCTGACTTCTTTTTCTCTCTCTCTATATCATACAAACATACAAACAAACATCAATCTCGAGATACTCTTTGAGTTTTAATCAACAACAACACACACACACACACATCTACTACACAAAGTACAAACACAAATCAATCAAAATGGGAGCCGTCGTTTCTTGTGTATGTCTCTCTCTACCTTCTCTCCTTTCTCCACGGTCTTGAGTTTCGTTGATTTGAGGTCTATTGATCTCATCTCATCAATAAACCATGTCCACTCCCCCTCCTAAAACAAAAGAATATAAACTGACATCCTCTCTAGATCACTGGCATGTTCCGCGCCATCGGTGCTGGTCTCATGGCCGTCGTCAACGGAATTGGAGCCATCCTCACCGGTATCATCAACGCCATCGTTGCCTTCTTCGATGTCCTCATCTCCTGCTTGACTTGCGGAAGCTGCGGCGGTAGGAGAAGAGGTAGACGTACGACAAGTCACGTCTAGAAGGGTCCCTTGCCTTTGCGCGAGGGGTACCTTCTAGTATTCACAATCTCTCAACATGACCAATCAATGTACAGTTGAAGAGATGATGTGGGGGAAGGAGTAGTGCCTGCGAAGTTGCGAGTTTGCTTTATGATACCTGAGGTGTTTGGACGGTGGATGGAAGGGTGGCAGAGGGAGAGAGAGAGGAGAGCTATTTTTGTTTTTTCCGATTCGACTCGATACCCGGTTTCTTTTCTCTTAATTATGGATGGTGGATGGGTGGGAAAGTAGAGATGAGTTTATGCATGGTTTTGCTTGCGCACGCGCTTGCATTTACTGAAGATGAGAGAGGCAGGAGTGGAGGTTTAATGATTATGATACATTACATTACTACACTACGTCTTGTTTTTTGATTGTGATATGTGAGGTTGTGAGCTTCAAACTGAAGGTGAAAATTCATCACGAACTTCATATGGCAATTTTGGAGGTTTGTATTGGATTTACTATGATTCCTTTGGATTTACATTTTTCCTTCGTATAGAACTAACTGTCTCTACCATCTGCACAGTGAGATGCTGATGAAAATTCGTACTTGCTCCATCTTCTTCCAAAATACATATCGCTATCCCCATACTCTCCAACACATATCCTTCAAATAAACATTCCCCTCACCCCAATAACCCTTAACACTTCTTCCCTCCCTCCCCTCTCCACCTCTATCCCATCCCTATATCATTCCAATATTTACCTCTTCAAAATTTCCTCTTCCTTTCATTCTCAAAACAACGCTTTATATGGATATACTAAAAGCCACTACTCTTTCTTTACCTTCTCCTCTCCATCTTCTATTTCTTACTTCGAAATTCTATTTTTGTTCCCTCCTTCCTTTCTGAATATCTTCCTAAGTTTATTCCTTGATTGAGTCAAATCAAATCGCAAAATTAATGTAAATGTAAATGAAGATGGAAATGGAAATAAAAAAACCAAAACTCCGAGAAAGGCTTCTACTTCTTTAAACATTCTGGCATTGAGTGACCGAGAGACTTCTCATAAATGCTTAATTTCTGTTTGGGGATTTGATAGGGGATGATTAAAGGAAGTGGAAGAAGAGGAAGGAGCGAATGTTCTGAAATACAACAAGCAGAAAATCAAAAGAATTGCGGGAGGAGAGAGGGGTGGGGGTTAAATGGAGGATGAAATGCTAATCTGAATTATAGCTAAAAGTTAAATTTCAGAGTAGAGTAGATGTTTACTTAAACACGTAACAGATAAATAAATAGGTAGATATAGGAAAGATAATAAGTGTTCCAGACCGGTAGGATATATGCTCGACTGATTTCTAGTGCCTGGGTATCCAATTGTGCGAGTGTGCAGATGTGCTGATATTACTTTCGTTGCGGTACTCTCAAGGGTGCTTTAGGAGGAGGAGGAGGAGGAGAATAAGGAGAAAGAGGAGAAGGAAGGGGAAATCGAGAGAAAGCATGTAAATAAGTGATTGACAAGGCGACTAGAAGTGAAAAGGATTGAGTATTAAATAATTATTTAAGCAAGGTAGTATAAATTCAATTGATACTATAGAATCTCCCCCCTTCCTTTCTCTCCCTCAAAGAAACACTTCAAACCCATTACTCACTCAACCTCTCCTCTCCCTCGAACTCTCCTCACTAACCCTCGGAGCCGCCATCCGAATCTCCCTCATCACCAAATCTATATCCGAATCCCTATCCCTATTCTGCATCCCCACCCCCATCCCCGTCGTATTAGCTCTCCTCCTATTTCCGGTCCCCTCACTCGCCACCCTATTGCTTCTCTCCCCATCACTCCCCCCCATCCCAATAACACTCGACCTGAACCCAATTCCCACCCCACGCCCCTCATGAACCTCCTCCCACCTCAATCTCCCCACCGCCCCCAACCCATCAAAACTTTTCGCAACCCCCCCCAACGCCCTCAAAAGCACATCCGTATGTCTCTCCACAATCCTCATTCGCAGATCTAGTTCTTTTTCCTTCAAGCTTGTCGATCTCAGACTTGTTCCTATTTCTCCCGTGCTTCTTCTCTCCATATTCAGATTCATACTCGTATCTCTATCTATCTTCCCATGTGCATCCCCATTCAAATAATTTAAATCCTCATCAGAACAGAGATCCATGCGTCCATAACCAAACCCATCACTACTCTTCCTCCCATCCCTTTCCTTCCCTAACCATGTCGTCGACGCCAAAGGTGAAGTATGACTTAAAATAGTCTGTGTAGATTGATGCGCATAAGCTAATTCCTCACTATCAACTCGATAAAAAGAGTTTGTTGAGTCAAATTTAGGTCTCGGGATTCTCGAAGGCGATTTCATCGTTAAAGCAGGCGAAATGGGACGTGCTCCGAAATCACATTGTCGTAATTCTTCATTATAAGGTGGGAAGTCAGCGACGAGCGTTATACGAATTGTAGACAATTCATTAGTGTTTGGGGCGAGGCGTTTCGGGAAGCGATCTGGTGTTCCGAATGTTGGGTTTGAAAATAGGGGAGATAAAGGTTCGGCTTCGATGAAAGGATATTCTGGAACGGGTTGAACAGATGCCTTATTTGTATTAGTATTCGTGTTTATATTTGTGTGATCCACACTCGAGTTTCTTGAGCGAATAGAGGCCAAGTCTTTTTCTTTCTTTGCTCGTACTTTCTCGCGGCGGCTCTGATGTTTTGCTTGATCTGCTTGTTTCTCATTACTACCAAATTGTGGACTTATTGGTGATGCAATCTCTGCGGGAGCGGTCGCTTGGTTCCTAGATAGATCTTCTACCTTCGCCGCACTAACCGCAGGAAACTGAATAATGTTCTCACTTCTCGGTGAAGCAATCGAAGGCCTTGGAGTTCCTCTGAAACTCTGCAGATTAACCGTCTCAGCCGTTCCAAAAACTGCTTGCGCCGAGAAGTTCGTGTTGAAACTATCTGGTGTAGACTTTAGCGAGTGTCTGATATTTGTGCCTGTAGTTGCAATGCTATGAATAGTGGATATTGATTTAATCACTTTGTGAGTCTGATAAGCCGGCTTGGTATCAGGGGATGGTGTTCTGTTTATTACTCGCAAGGGGCCGTCGGATCTATTCCTCCAGAGTATTGGACGATTGACGGAATTGAGGGAATTTGCTCGAGGATTATCTGTTGGAGCTACTTTGAATGAAGCAACGGGCGAGGAAAATGCTTTCGATGAATGCGGTCGAGGTCGGGATTCTGGAGCATCGTGGTAAATACTTCCAGTAGGGGTATACACTTGACTAGTTCGATGAATGTAACCATTTTGCAGCATCACCTCTTCCGACCCTGGTTTTGTAACCACTTTCGTTAGAGTACCTGGACCCCAAGTATTTCTATTGGAGGTTGAAGTGGTCCTCTTATGTACAGGAAGTTCAGGTGGAGGTGCAGATGAATCTGCAGAATTGTAGCCCGGCTTGGGGATAATGACAGGGCTTCTATCGGGTGTCGGTACCCGCGCCAAATTTGAAGTCGTCTGAGGAGGTGTCTGGAGTCTCCCCAGGTAATCATGTTCTAGCGGTATTGAGATTGCTATATACTGGACGCCCTGACGAGTTTTGGCAGCAATAGCGGTATCGGGAAGTTTCAAGAATTGATTAGACTTCGATTCTTTCTTTTGTTTCCTGCGGAGGAGACCAAACTTTTTTCTTGGGGCAGTTTGTGGGAGAGCAACTAGGTTATGCGCCGGGGGATCGTAAGACATGAGGAACTCGGATACATATTTCATGGTTTCTCTTTCACGCCGAGGTGATGTTGTATCCAAAGATCCATAGCTTTGACTAGTCGTTTGACGAGGTCTCGTTCTTCCACTTGACTTGGTACCTGAACTATTAAATCTTACCAATTCTGGTACCGTGTCGATTGTGCCATGATTATGAGATCTACTCGTCCGGCGGCGCGATAACAGTGTAGGATTGATAGATGATGGCGTTCCCATAGACTGAGGCCTTAGGGGCTTGATGTTCATCAAACGCGGTGGAGGAGTTTTGCTATTAGTTACTGAAGTCATTCTGATTTTTATCTGTAGTAGACACCATGTTAGACAAATGTGTGAGTTCCCGTAACCGGGATAGCTTCTCTTGAAGAAGACATACCGACAGCTTGTTACACTCACATAGCTGTTTGTTGAAGCTGTAATTGAATTGAACCACTTGAAGCCGCTCTAGCTTACGAAAAAATTCTCGAAGATGAACATGATGAAATTTTCGAACAGTGAAAAATGTTGCAAAACTTAGCTGAAGGTCAAGGAAGGTCGTTACCATTATTGTAGCTCTGCCGACTTGAAGATCCACGCTGGTGGCCCAGATTCGTCCTAGCAACGCAATGCAAGGAGGAACTAATCACCTGCATCTCGTAGTTGCGCGGACGTTGGCTAAACAATCAACAAAATAAAGATTCCCAACCCGTGGGAAAACATATCGACTTTGAACAATTCAAGGTTAGTGGCGGCTTGATGGCGTTTTATTGCATCAATGGCAGGTGCAGTGAACGCCGACCAATGCGGCACTAAAAGTCGATCTTAGAGGTTTGCAGGTCATGGGTAGATGGACTCTGACTTGATGATAACGGGGCGTTGTGTGCATGGCCATCATATCATGTTGTATCATTGTGGCCATTCAGTTGTGATCCGAATCCGAAGTAGAACTGGGCCCAGACAGACATATACAGAAATATCACCTCTCTTCACGACTTACCACATCAATACAATCGATCAATGTCATTTCAAATTCCCACATGAATCACTATCACTCAATAGTTTCCCAATTCTCAATTTCAAATCTTCTAAGAACAGAAGTCCACCTCCCACTAAACTCTTAGCGGATCAGGGAACAAAAATATCCGATAAGGCAAGGAATGATCTACAGCCCCAACCCTCAAGTCCGAGTAGCTATTCATATGTCCGTGCGAATTATTTCTTGATTTATGATTGAGAAAGTAAAGTAATCATGAAACTTTCAATTACAAAGTCCGAATGCAGAAATCTCAAATTG